ACTGCCCTATCTCAGGCCCTCAGTGGCTCACCTGAACCACATGGTGGTTTCCCTCCTTAACTTCTACTCTCTCCCATTCCCACTGTGCAGATGAAACTCCTGGGGATCTTGTCAAAATGCCAATTATACAGTAAGTCTGAGGTGGGGCATGAGGTTCTGCATTTCTAACAGGCTCCCAAGAGAGGCTGATGGTGACAGTACACAGATCATATTTCAAGGAGCCAAGGTTCAACACAATGCAGTCAACAAGCAGAGGCCAGCTAACCATCAATCAGGAATGGACAAGCGGAGGTTTCTATGCTAGATAAGAAGCTGTACTAGATGCCCTCTGGTCCCTTCCAGTGCAAAGATTCCAGACCATCTCTGGGCTACCCATGAGGTTGTCACGCATTTTATGTCACTGAAGCCTGGCAAAGCAGTACTCTAACAGGTATTACTTCAATTACGGCATTTGTCAGGTTCTGACTTAGTAACTGTCTACAGACAACCCTGGTTTGGTCTATTCCAATATTACATGTTTCTAACAGATAAAGAAGATACTGTGCATGGGATAAGTATAATTGTGCCTGTGATAGTACCCTAAAGATAAATGAACTCTACTACTTTCTTTTACCCATCAGGATTATCTAGAGGTTGATGCCACCTGGGTTAATCTGTCAGTTTTTTAAAACCAAAAGGATAGTCGGGTTTTGTTGTTGCTGTTGTTGTTTTGATGGAGGGGGCTGGGGAGGGGAAGTATGCATATCTATAAAAGTAGGAAGCAATGACAGCTTCTATTTCTAGTGGCTACAAGCCAATTCAGGATATAAAATAAGCATTTCAACTATCCTAACAAGACAATCGCTACTCTCAGAAATGAACTTTTGTGTGGTATCTTAAGAGTGACATCCTTGGCTGGGCAGTGTAGCTCGTGCCTATAATCCCAGCACTTTGGGAGGCCAAGATAGGTGTATCACTTGAACTAAGGAGTTTGAGACCAGAATGGACAACACGGCAAAACCTTGTCTCTACAAATAAATACAAAAATTAAAACTAGCTGGATGTGGTGGCATGCACCTGTAGTCCCAGCCACTTGGGAGGCTGAGGTGGGAGGATAGTTTGAGTCCAGGAGACGGAGTCTGCAATGAATTAAAACTGCACCACTGCACTCCCGCCTAAGCAACAGTGCCAGACCCTGCCTCAAAAACAAGAATGACATTCTCTTAAACAGTTCCAAAATATGTTTATAGAACTTTTTCTCAGTGCATATTCATTTTGGTTAAAACACCATGCCCCTCATATGACTTGGTTACAAAGCAAGGGATCATTGAGCTTCTGCTTTACAATCACAAGGGCCAATAACTACTCTCCTTCTGATTACATTGCTGCTAACATTTCCGTTACTATCCCCTATAAAAATCAGCTTGTCAAGTGTTGATACTGCACTAATGAGTTAACTGAAGTCTCTGTAAAAATTTTCATGGAGGGCAAATAGGTGTTATTTAATAATAGATGATGGAAAATACCCACTGACAGGTAATTAACCTGAATGTTGATTGGTTTGAATTAGAAGTATTTTATTTGGATTAGAAGCATGACTTATTTTAGTCAGACAGGCTGAAATAACTTTTTTTTTTGTTACCATGGTGTTTCTCATAATTCTAAAACATAAAAAGCAAAAAGCAGCTCATTTTTCAGTATTGTCATCCACATTCCTACAAGACAATATTTCACAGAGCCACTGCCATCTACTCAAGATGAAAATAATTTATAATAGGTCGTTAGTAAAAATGTGCCACGTGTGTAGTACAGGTTTTACAGCCATGGATAAAAGAGCTAGTAAGTTGTTTTATGATTATATGAACACTGAAAGATATTGTTTCTTCCTAGTACACACAAGAGGTTTTTTAAATAATTCCATGAAGATCCAGAGAGGAGAAACAGAGATTTTTTAAAAATGCCCCCAGGTCATGACCAATTCATCATCTTCCAGTATTTACATTAATGTGGTATACATATGACACTAAACTAAAAAAAAAAAAAAAAGTACCTCTCTTCAGAAGATAAACAGCACTTCCCATCAACCTCATAAATCCATAGAAAAATTAAACCACAGAGGCCTTAAATATAAAAGGAATAAGAGAATGTCTCTCAGTGTACTCTAGGCTACTGTCAGGCTGCAGTGTGACCTCCAGCACATGCACATTTGCATTTTTTGTTTCAAAAAATCAAAACAAATATTAACCCAGAACTTAGGTCCTCACAAACTGTAACACCAAATAGAACACAAAACAATTCAAGTGATAAAAAGGCCCAGATGTTAACTATTAATCCTAAACTCAGCCAGACTACACATTGAACCAATAATTTATAGTTGCTCCTACAACAATTCAGGACCCCAGAACTGAAGCAACAGTCTACTCCTGGTCCTTCCAGGGCAGCACACAGTGACGTTTGGAGCCCCTCTCTCCCCTCTCCTGCTATTAAAGTAACCTGCGAATGCTACATCTCCATTAGAACACTTTTCACCTTTTTATTGTTAATGTTGGCTTGTTTCCACAAACATGCCCTCAAATTGGTAAATAATTCAAGGACCCTAGACAACTCCCATTAGTCATCTTTAAACCAAAAGCATCCCTGACATAGTAAATAATCACAGTAAAAAAAATTTTTAAATCACAGTAATTACTGAATAAATGAATGAATGTATACAGGCATACCTCAGAGATACTGCAGGCTCAGTTCCAAACCACTGTTACAGAGCAAATATCACAATAAAGTCACATGAATTTTTTGGTCTCCTAGTGTATATAAAAAGTTATGTTTACATTGTTACTCTATTAAGTTTGTTAGACCATTATGTCTAAAAACACAATGTACATACCTTAATTTTAAAATACTTTACTGCTAAAAAGTACTAACAATGATCTGAACCTTTGGCAAGTCATAATCTTTTTGCTGGTCGAGGGTCGAGCCTCAATGTTGATGGCTGCCAACTGATCCAGGTGGTCGATGCTGCAGATTGGGTGGCTGTGGCAATTTCTTAAAATAAGGCAAAGTTTGCTGCTCAATTACCTATTCCTGTCACAAAAGAGTTCTCTTTGTTTGACAGCACCTTATCCATGGTAGAACATTTTTCAAAATGGGAGTCAATCCTCTCAAACCCTGCTGCTGCTTTATCAACTAACTTTATGTAATATTCTAAATCCTTTGTTGTCATTTCAACAATGTTCACCACATCTTCACCAGGAGTGGATTCCTTCTCAAGAAACCACTTTCTGGGCCGGGCGCAGCAGCTCACGTCTGTAATCCCAGTACTCTGGGAGGCCGAGGCGGGTGGATCACCTGAGTTCAGGAGTTCAAGACCAGCGTGGTCAACATGGTGAAACCCCGTCTCTTAAAAAAAAAAAAAAGAAAGAAACCGCTTTCTTTGCTCATCCATAAGAGGAAACTCCTCATCCATTCAAGTTTCATCATGAGACTGCAGAAATTCAGGCTTATCTTCAGGCTCTACTTCTAATTGTAGTTCTTTTGCTATTTCCAACACATCTGCAGTTACTTCCTCCATAGAAGTCTTGAACACCTCAAAATAATCCATGAATCAACTTCTTCTAAACCCATGTTAATGGAGGTCCTCCTCCCATGAATCATCAATGTGCTTAATGGTATCCAGAATGGTGAATCCTTTCTAAAAGGTTTTCAATTTATTTTGTCTAGATCTATCAAGGGAATTAGCATCTATGACAGCTACAGCCTTACAAAATGTATTTCTTAAATAATAAGACCAGAAAGTCAAAATTACTCCTTGATCCATGGAATACAGAATGGATGTTGTGTTAGCAGGCATGAAAACAACATTAATCTCTATGTACATCTCCATCATAGCTCTTGGATAACCAGGTACATTCTCAGTAGGCAGTAATATTTTCAAAGGAATCTTTTCTTTTTCTGAGCAGTAGGTCTCAACAGTGGGCTTAAAATACTAAGTAAACCATGCTACAAACAGGTGTGCTGTAATCCAGGCTTTGTTGTTCCACTTACAGAGCACAGGCAGAGTAGATTCAGTAGAATTCTCAAGGACCCTAGGATTTTCAAAATGATAAATAAGCAGCCACCTCAACTTAAAAGTCACTAGCTCCATTTATTCCTAACAAGAGAGTCAGCTTATCCTTTGAATAAAGCCAGGTACTGACTTGTCCTCTCTACCTATTAAACTCCTAGGATGGCATCTTCTGCCATTAGAAGGTTGCTTCATCTACACTGAAAATCTGTCACTTAGTGTAGCCACCTTCATCAATGATCTTAGCTAGATCTTCCAGATAAGTGGCTGCAGATTCTAGATCAGGTTTTACATCATAACTTGCACCTTTATTCTATGGACACAGCTTGTTTCCTTCAATCTCATGAACTAACTTCTACTAGCTTCAAACTTCTCTTTTGCAACCTCTTCACCTTTCTCACCCTTCATAAAATTAAAGAGAGTTAGGACCTTGCTCTGGATTAGGCTTTTAATTAAGTGAATGTTGTACCTGGTTTGATCTTCTACGTAGACCACTAAAACATTCTCCGTATCAGCAATAAGGCTGTTTTGCCTTCTTATGATTCATGTGATCACTGGAGCAGCACTTTTAATTTCCTTCAATAACCTCTTCTGCATTTGCAACTTGGCTAACTGGCAGAAGGAGGACTAGCTTTGGGCCTTTCTCAGATTTTGACATGCCTTCCTTACAAAGCTTAATCATATTCAGCTTTTGATATAATGTGAGAGACTTGGGACTCTTCCTTTATAGGGTTACCAACTGGCCCAATTTTAATACTGTTGTGTCTCAGAGAACAGGGAGGCCCCAGGAGGGGGAAAGAGATGGGGGAACAGCCAGCAGGTCAAGCAGTCAAAACACACACAACTTTATTAAGCTTCCCATTTTACATGGGCATGGTTTGTGGTGCCCCAAAACAATTACAATAGTAACATCGAAGATCATTGATCACAGATAACTGTAACAGATATAACAATGAAAAGGGTGCTCACTTTGGCAGCATATATTCTAACAGTGGAATGATACAGAGAAAATTAGCATGGCCCCTGCGCAAGGATGATATGCAAATTCTTGAAATGTTCCATATTTTTTAAAACTTATAAACAAAAAAAAGGTTTGAAATATTGCAAGCCTAACCAAAATGAGACACAGAGACAAAGTGAGCATATGCTGTTGGAAAAAAATGTTGCCAACAGACTTGCTCAACACAGGATTGCCACAAACCTTCAATTTGTAAGAAATGCAGTATCTGCAAAGCACAACAAAAGGAAGCAGAATAAAACAAGGTATGCCTGTACAGTCTTCCATGTAGCAGCATCAGTGCCCAAAAACAGTAGATCCCATCTTCCTTAATGAGCCCTAATTAACTCTAATTAACATTTGTGGCAACTTACCATTGCTAAAAATAATAAAACCACATTACATTTGTATAACATCTCACAGTTTACAAAGCACTTCCACACATATCATCAAATCTGAATCTCTCAAAGTTCTTCAAAACAGACTTTTTTTTTTTTAGATGACGTTTTGCCCGTTGCCCAAGCTGTAGTACAGTGCCGTGATCTCAGGTCACTGCAACCTCTGCCTCCCAGATTCAAGGGATTCTCCTGCCTCAGCCTCGCAAGTAGCTGGGATTACAGGCCCCCACTACCAGACCGGGTTAGTTTTTTGTATTTTTAGTAGTGACAGGGTTTCACCATGTTGGCCAGGTTGGTTTCAAACTTCTGACCTCAGGTGATCCACCTGCCTCAGCCTCCCAAAGTGCTGGGATTATGGTATGAGTCACTGCACTGAGCCAAAAACAGATTTTTTAAAAATCACTTTCTCTTTTTTTTTTTCTCTCTCTCTCTCTCTAACAAATGAGGCTAAAGGAGATTAAGCGGTTTACTATAGGTCTCACATGATGTAAAGAAGAGAAGCCCACAGACCAGAGAAGGGATCCAGTGCTCTTTCCACCCTAAGAAAAAGCAGCATCATATATCCCAAAATGAGGAGTGATGGTTTGTAACAACTAGTACTGTTGTCACAGGCACTTTCATTCATTATCTTACTTTATCCTTTCAACAACCTTGCGCAGCAGGTAAGAAAGAATGCAGAAAAGCTCTGTGTCAGTGGCACAGCCAGAATTCAAGTCCAGGTTGTAACTAAAGTCTGTGCTTCACAAATGCTGATGTGCCCAAACTGGCCACAGAAGCTCATTAGGGATAAGTTTTCCATATTCAGCAACTCAAAGGGGACACTTACCAGTTAACTCTGACATCTGATGCCTGAACTCGAATTCCGCCTCTTTGTTGCTCACTCTACAAATCTAGACAAGTTACCAAACTGCTCTATAACTCCCGTTTCTCTATCTGTAATGCTGAGGTGATAACATAACCTACCTCATAGGGTTGTTACGCAGGTTAAATTAATATTTATAAAGCAATAAATAGTAATTCGCATATAGGATGATAGAAAAGTTTGCTAAATACCAAAAAACTATATAATTTCTTTAACGTTAGGCAGCAGGATACAATTATGCTAAAGCAGTTCAATTCTTTTACACTTGCTTATTCAAATTTTTTAAAAATAATATCTGGTTTGTCATTGTGGAAGAAAGCACTGTTACTTACAAACACCTAAATAAATTTGTTGACCACAATTTCATTTCATTTAGGTTTTTTTGTTTGACAGAGTCTCGCTCTGTCATCCAGGCTGCAGTGCAGTGGCGTGATCTTGGCTCACTGCAACCTCCATCTCCCTGGTTTAAGCAATTCTCCTGCCTCAGCCTCCCAAGTAGCTGGGATTACAGCCACATACCACCATTCCCGGCTAATTTTTTTGTATTTTCAGTAGAGACAGGGTTTCACCGTGTTGTCCAGGCCGGTCTCGAACTCCTGACCGCAAGTGATCTGCCCACTTCAGCTTCCCAAAGTGCTGGGACTGCAGGCGTGAGCCACCATGTCCGGCTTCATTTGGTATTTTATAGCAATGGGTCCAGAGATTTTTCTCCTTAAGTGTTAATATATTAAAGCCTATAGCCAACTCCAGCAAAGGTGATTTGGAACTTCTGCAACACAACTAAAAGTCTATAGAAGAGAAATCTAGTTGTCCAAACAATCTTATAAAGCCACAAAACCCACCAGCGGTACCATATATGTCTTGTAGTCATTTATACAATAACTAAGAATTAGTCAATAGAACATGAAAGCCTGTTTGCCAAAGACTGTAGACGTTCTAATTTGACTTTTCTATATTTGACATGTGTTCCTTTTCCCACCCTCATTCCCACTAAAAAAAAAAAAACACTTCATTTTTTTCTAGGAATTAACTTGCTGAACAGCACTAACGCACCAAGGGTACAATTAGAACACTGGTCACAGGATCAAAAAGTTCTGTTCTCTCAAGTCAGAGCTATTTCAGATTATATTCCCTGTAATCGAGAACTGTCATCAGTTCAAGACAACGCATGGCAACCCCTTCTCAGGTTGGCCAAAAAAAAAACTCAAGGCACCACTGACAGAGTCTACTAATTTCAACAGACAAGTTAGCCTTCCTCTTTTAAAATTAAAAAGTTAAACCATAGGTGCTTCACAATGACCTTCAAGGGGTAGCCCCAGAATTTCTCCAGAAGGTGAAAAAATTCAGTGAGTGTGTTCAGTATAAATAGGCAGCTGAGACTGCTGCCTAATGCAAAATAAATTAGTCAAAGAGTTCAAATTCAGAAAACAGAAATTAACGCTTCATGTCACTGCTTTAAATTTTTTTTTTTTTTTTTTAGACAGAGTCTTACTCTGTCAGCCAGGCTGTAGTGCAGTGGCACCATCTCGGCTCACTGCAATCTCTGCCTCCTGAGTTCAAGTGATTCTCCTGCGTCAGTCTCCCAAGTAGCTGGGATTACAGGCATGCACGACCACACCCAGCTCATTTTTGTATTTTTAGTACAGACAGGGTTTCGCCATGTTGGCCAGGCTGGTCTTGAACTCCTGACCTCAGGTGATCTGCCCGCCTCAGCCTCCCAAAATGCTAGGATTACGGGCGTGAACCACCTCACCCAGCCTAAAATTATCTCTAATGATGTAAAGGGTGAAAAAAACACAAACGAGCAGTATTTTATATTCCAGCCCCCTCTCCCCTTTCCATCCAAGCCACTTAGAGATGATCACAAATCCACAGGAAAGGAGTATCCTGGTAAGTCCGTATCCAGAGCATATAAGCTGCCATCCTAAAAGTGACAACGGCATGGGAAAGTGAGACATCAAAAAGAAATGCAGGGGTAAGGCTAAAGAGCCTTCCCTTTCTCCCTATTGTCCTCCGACAAATCCTAATACCTACCTTAAACCTACATTACTCCATATCATAGATTTTAATCCCTGGCCTGCCAGTTAAAACAAACAAGCAAAAAGGCATAAACTCCAGGAAAAGTGGCTTTTTTTTTGAGACAGGGTCTCACTCTGTTACCAAGGCTGGAGTGCAGTGGCATGATCATGACTCACTGCAGCCTTGAACTCCTGAACTCAAAAAATCTTCCCACCTCAGCTTCCCAAGTAGCTAGGACTACAAGCAGGCTACTATGCCCAGCTAATTTTTTTTTTTTTTAATAGAGACTAGGTCTCACTATGTTGCCCAGGCTGGACTTGAACTGCTAGGCAGAAATGATCCTACTGTCTTGGCCTCCCAAAGTGTGGGAATTACAGGTGTGTGCCACATACCCGCCAAAAGGGGCATTTTAAATCAAAGAAGAAAGAATACACTTATTCAATTAAAAATGTGGAAACAATTTGTTGTTTCTCCTCCTTCCTTTTTTTTTTTAAAGACAGAGTCTTACTCTGTCACCCAGGCTGGAGTGAAATGGCTTGATCTCTGCTCACTGCAACATCCGCCTCCCAGGTTCAAGCCATTCTCCTGCCTCAGCCTTCCAAGTGACTGGGATTACAGCCACCCATCACCATGCCCAGCTAATATTTGTATTTTTAGTAGAGGCGGGGTTTTACCACATTGATCAAGTTGGTATCAAACTCCTGACCTCAGGTGATCTACCCACCTCAGCCTCCCAAAGTGCTGGGTTTACAGGTGTGAGTCACTGCACCCGGCCTCTCCTTCTTATCTTAAATGATGGATTAAATTTCTACACATAGAAAACTATAAAATACTGGCTGGGCAAGTGTATATACACACACACACACACCCACACACACGTTCTCCATTGAGTGTTGAGGTCGAATACGATGAGAGGTAGTAGTTGTACTTATGGATGGGAGGGGTTGAGTAGGATAACTAATCCTGGAGCGGGGAAAGTCTCAATTAAAAAAAAAAAATCTGCAGTTTAATTTTGTTGAACTTTAATTGGTAACTCATTGTGACTTGTTCATATCCCTTGCCTGCTCTGTGTATCTATAGATATCATAGGTACATAGAGCAGACAATTCTGGGTAGCCCCAGAGTTTCTCCAGAAGGTGAAAAAAGTTCAGTGAGTCTGTTCAGTATAAATAAGCAGCTGAGACTGCTGCCTAATGCAAAATAAGTTAGTCAAAGAGTTCAAATTGGGAAAACAGAAATCAATGCTTTATGTCACTGCTTTAAATTTTTTTGAGACAGTCTCAATCTATGTATATATAGATATACGTATATACGATACGTATATACGTATATCTATGTATTAGCATGTGTGCACAAGCGTAAGGAAGAATAAGTCTGCAACTATAGCAGTGTTTATACAGCAGAGTTCCTTGTTACTTAAAACTGAATGTCTGCTGCACGCCAGCCATACCACCTCTCTAAGAGACCATCAAGAGAAATTTCTCCTCTGCTTCAGCATCTGGAGCAAATACTCAATATGACAGACGTAATATATTTTTACCCTTGTGTAGTTACGTACTTTTAAAAGTTTCTTTACTCATTTAAAAATGAACAGTAATCTCTGAGGAATTAATTGACTTACTAGGTTAACTCTCATAGAAGGGAAACTAAAACTTTTGCTTAAGGTAAATAATTAAATTAAAATGAAATTGAGAATAAAAGGAAATCTGTCATCCCCTAAATTAGCTCACAGTTCACAAACTATCTTTTTGCTAAAGAGAGCAGGATATTTCTTTCTCTGAGAAAGAGAGAG